TGATGATTGTAAATTTCCAGACAATAAATGTTTTGTAATTTGATGATTGTAAATTTCCAGACCAATAACTTTAATGTATTTTGATAACTGTAAATTTCCAGACCAATAACTATAATGTATTTTGATAACTGTAAATTTCCAGACCAATAAATGTAATGTAATTTGATGCTTGTAAATTTCCAGACCAATAACTATAATGTATTTTGATAACTATAGGTCCGTAGGTATTATCTCGACCGATGTATTATATTTTGATAAGATAATTGTAAATTTACAGACCAATAATTGTAATGTATTTCGATAATTCAATTCTAAATTTTATGCATGTAATGTATATGTTAGTTGTTAATTTATAGATTAATGCTCGAAATGTATCTTGATAGTACATTTGTAAAATTTATATTTAACTGGCAATTATATTGGCTGAATTCAGTAATGGACTTGTATTGGGGTATATTGAATTTGGAAGACTAACTTTAAGATGAGGGGACTTAACTTTCATACTGTCAACTTTGGATTTTGGAAAACTGTTCTGGCATGCCATAATTTCCTGAAGCTTTCATCAACAAAATCATTAATGGCACCACCTTTTTATTATTTTAAACCATGTTTTTTTAATATACACTAGACATTTTTTTAAATCATTTTTTATAAGACATTACACAATGTCAACAAACAACAGCGACAACACAACACAAATAGACACAACAACAGACACAAAAACAATCACCATAATATAGTTAAATGAATGTGTATACCATCATGAGTGGAGGACTGAAGTGATCGGGAATTGGTTTGATTTGAAAACGTCCAAACATGCCTTTTTAGACAAGTTTGTGGGTGATCCCAATCATTTGTAGTGACCTAGCTATAAGGTCAACCAATAGAATTCCAAGTATTAGGTGCTCACTTAAACATTTCATTAGCTCTACAGGAGACATGACTTGCAATTAAAGTAAATACATATAGTAAATGAGTCGAACAATACCATCATCATTAAAGCATCATATAACAAGTTTTAAATAAATGAATGACCCACTTAAACTGATATCAGACAAATACAGTAAAACTTCGGAAGTGTTCTTTCAATAACTAATTCCATTATTTAATATCAATAACTAAGGTTGTCATATTTACAATTTATTTGTAATTAATTTACAGATCTACATGCTTTGTTTCACTTTTTTGAATGATGGTTTCCACAAACCATATATGATCTTACAAAATTAATCTACAACTGATGTTACAGGTCAATAATATTAAATGTTCAGCCAATCAGACATGTAGATAAAAAAATTGAAATTATACAAGCCAAATTTGTGCTTTTATGTAAATATGTAATTATGTAGTTATCATTGCAACACCATGGACAATTGACAATTCAATCATGAGGGACGATAGTATAAAATTCTTCAAATCATCATAATACATAAATCATAATCAGAATCATAACATAGCCTTGCTTGCCATATACCAGGTTTGAGACAGCTCTTCTTGGAAAGTAAATAAATGTTTATCAAAACTAAAGTTCAAATCAAGTGATTTTTAAAACATGTTGTAAGTTGATTTTAGACATTTTCATGAAAAACACTATCAGGAATTTTTAGATCTGTGTTCTCTTAGGCATTTTGTAGTACAGAATCTAAAATCTGAATACTCAAAGGGAACTTTTCCGGTAATATCCACAGCACAGTTATAACATCGACTGAAAAATATAAAGATCACATAAAATTAAACTCATACAGAATTTCATTAAAACACATTATTCAAAACAAGGTCTCATTAAAATCCAAAATTAACCACAATATATGTCCGGATTATAGACAGATTCAGTTGCATAGTAATAAGTAAGTCCACTGACTAATTTTTACCAAGTTTAACATAATTTTGGTCATCCTAAGAGGTAGTATACCTTTAAGAAACATTTGTGACATGTATATCTTACCTCAGGACTGGAGCATCATTTCCTACAGATTGATGTTGATCAACCAATCTTCTTTCAGCTGCCAACAATCTCTGTAAATAATTCATGTTATTGAATTCAAATTTTCATGTATATCTATATGAATAGTATCGCCACATGAGACTTTCCATTTGATAATTGGTCACTTTCAAGCTTTAATTAAGATTTAAAATGTTAAATGGACCTTAATTTGTTACCTCATACAAAAACAAAATTTTTCCATGGTAAAAATTTCCTACCTTTTCTCTATCAGATAAATTAAGGAATCGATTTCTTTCCTTTTTTTCAGCTATATTTTCGGCATCGTTTTCTCTCTGTATCTACAGTAAGAAATAAACATTCAAATAAACACTTTTAGCTTGAAAATGCTACACATTTACTAATGGTCTCCAAAATCAGATTTTAAAATCATTTAGCAATAATTTTTAAATGACATTTTCTTCATGTCTGAGCAAGAAAATAGTTGTAAGATAAGGCTATAAATTTTGTCAATACTTTAGGAGTTAATGGTTTGTTTACCATGCAAATAGCAAAAACTTTTACCAGTCTCTGACAAACAATTTTCACTATTCTAATGTCAAAGATAGCAACACACACAACAAACTTTAACAGTAAGTTTTTTTCAAATTTTTTTTTGTTTGTACTAGCCAATTACAAAATCCACTAAGCTGTAATAAAAATACTTCAATTGATCGAACATTATACCTTCATTTTCTCAGCTCTGGCTTTTTTCTGTCGACTTTTTCTTTCAGCTTCTTTCTGTCTTTTTTCTTCCTCCATTTCCACTGTTAGAGGACCAGGGATCTATCAATGAATATTCAATTATCAATTATGGCTTGATGATACACCAATATTATAATGGTGCAGTAATTAATACTGAAATCTGTATCTTCAAATTACTGCAGACATGTACATTATTACCATTGAATGTTCTGTCAGTCTTATGCTGCTAAATCATTTTTAAGGACAATTTTTGTTAAATTTCAGATATTCATCTTTCAAAAATGTAAGTGACTCATAATAGTAGAAAATACAGATAACCTGAGCTTTTTGGTAATCATATTTATCAGGATAAATAGCCATAAATCTTCTAAATTCATTTCTAGTGTCTTTAGTATCTGATACATTGTAGGGAAGACAACCATTTTTATCTCTGGAATAGAAGAGCAGTAAACACTTAATTATAGAAGCTGAATAAACATATGGCAGCTGGATTTCAGAGTCAAAATTGGTATAAAAAACTACATGTATATGAACAAAATCCATTTTAAAACAATTGACTAGCAAAAAACAGGCAAAACTCCAAACTTACTTTGCAGTGGGATCAGCACCATATTTCATCAGCAAACTAATCACCTTTTTATGATTAGATCTAGATGCAACATGAAGTAAGGTAGTTCCATTGTCTCCAAAAGGCTTATTCAATACATCAATGGTCATTAAAGGAGATAACTGATCTAATGTGTACCCTCCAAATCTCATGGTCTGCTTGGGTAAGAGTAAAGTATTAGGAACACTGGAAGTTCTATTTTCAGGAAGAGTGGAATGTAAATTCACTTCATTTATACTTTTAGTTATTTCCTCACTTTTATTTGACTTTAATTGTTCACTTGGACTGGTTTCCATGACAACTGTCACATTGCATGCTGCTTCAATACCAGGGGAAATAAGAAAGTTTGAAGTCGTAACACTAGGAGTTAGAACACAAGGAGTGATGTCAGTACCCCTGAAAACCACCAATAAAGCCGATAATGTTTGAAGGTCACCTGTTTTGCAGGCTGTGTACAGGGCATTTTGAAGATGATACCGTTCTTCGGCTGAAATACAATGAATTTCTGTAAAATACAAATTAATTATAATAATCTACAGACCTAGATCACTACCTCCTGATTGGGCAAAAAAAGGTGGGCAAGAGCATACAGTGTGAAGAGAAGTTTTGCCAAGACTGCAACATTACCCCTCATGTTTTTTGACGGTGTCACTAAGAAGGTAACTAACTTAAAGAAATATGAAAGTTGTAAATAAAAACTTACCATAAATATCCTCATCAGGCTCAATTTGATGTTTATTTGGGTTTTTTCTTTTCTTTTTGGGTGATTTTTGGCGAGAAGGAGTGGTGGAACAGTCATATTCTTTAAGCACATCAGTTGATATGACTGTATCTATTTCTATTAATTCTGATTCACTAGATTCCTCACCTTGCAGATGATCTGAAATATTCCACAGATAATTTTTGCAATTAACTTTACCAATGTATTGTTATTCAGAATATTGCATAAAGTACAACTACAAGTAACTAATTACTGTCTATAATACAACAATCATCATAACCATAAATTTGAGTTTATGCAACTGACTAATTTTATGATTCTCATTGAAACATTTAGCTCAGCTTTACTGCTCAATTCAAAAAGATTCCCTACTATAGTCATAATGTACTGGGAGTTGGGAGATTTGCAGCCTTCTCATTTGGTATTGCAACCCGACACTTTTCGTTAATATCGGGTGAGGAATTTTCCCCCAAAAACAAATTTTACTACCTGGTATCATAGACTTTGGATTCAGTTGTCCTTTTTGTCTATCTTTACTACCAGGTGACTCCTTGACACCTTTAAGTTTAGAATCTGATTTAAATCTCGGTGACTCTCCATTTACATCCTCTACTACTTCCAGCTGACCTGTTTCAGAACTCAGCTGTCTCATGGGTGATATTGGTATAGAATCCTTTAACTCACTTTCTTGGCCTATAACAATATCTATGTGTAAGTGTGGTGATTTTAAATTATTCATCTTAGATGCAAAGGGTTGTGAGATCAATGCAAAGGCCTAAGACCAGCTGGTAGATCAGATCCTCAGGTAGCCTACATGTACATCTGTTGCTATATTTTTAAGATAGGATTATTTTTTCCATTCCAAAGAACAATTGGAGATGTCTTGACATGATCTTAGAATGATACCACTTTCACTGTTTAACCATTGTGAAATAAAAGGTTGTTTTTATTTTAGATAAATTGCCAAGTGGCCATTACTTGCTGATCTATGTGATGTATAAAATATGCCTACCATAACATTCTATGGAAAACAACATTTCATATACTCTCTTTACTTCATTGTAAGTTGGTCTTCGAGTAGGGAATGGTATAACTCTAATTCTGTCATCGTCTTTGGTAAATGGAGGGTTTTTACCACCATAAAAGATCTTTCGATTAAAACTAGGAGCTCGTAGGAAGAGAAAGTCACAAGTATTAATAACCTCACCATTATTCATTATCCAATCTTGTATTTCCTACAGTAAACAAAAAACAGTAAGTCTTGTAGTTTCAAACATATAATCTGTAATTTTTCTTGGTTGTAATATGTAAATTTTCTCATAATTGCAAGGAACTGTTCTACTCAATCAGCAGAAAAGTGTTTAAGGTGATGCAATAGAGTCTAAAATGAAATTTCTAAGTTTTCCCTTATTGATCACTCCAGCATGTGAATTTTGTTTCCAATCAACTCATATTATAACAAAAATTGACTAAATGTCAATAGATACCAAAATCAAATATAATCTTTGAAGAGCTTGACCAGATAGAGCTTGACTGACAAACACAGCCAAATAAATAGTCCAGATATTGAATTTGATTTCAAATTGAAGATACCTGTATAAGAGCAGCCTCATTATATCTTCGTAATGAAGCTCCAGCAGACTTGGGAGCATTACCACCTTGACTATCTCTACTACTCTGAGCTGTTCCTCTCTTAGCTCTCACTACATACCGATGAAAAGTTTTATGGGTTAAAACTTGTTTTCTGAAACATAAAGAAATGTTATTGCAAACTGAATAAACTAATTTACTATTATTATATCATAGTACTGCGTCTGTAACTGCCACCTGAAATTATCTGAGATTGGCTTGGTCATTTGTTGTGATCACTTCAGTTTGAGCTAAGATCCTTGATTCCTAAAATGTTTCTAGTCAGTTTGTAAAGTAACCTACCCATTATATATTGCTCCTGCAAAATGGCCACCAGCAGACATGAAAATGGCTGAATTTGTTTTCTGAGGCAATTTTTTAATTTCTTCAATCAAGTCAGTCTGCTCTGTTAATCTGTTCTAAAAAAAAGTGACTTTAATTACAATCCAAAATTTCATATTAAAACATTTGCTATAAAAACTTTATTACATGTACAGATATTTGGCTTAACAGATAAATCATTCTTTCATTTTTTTCTGTTTATTTAAAAAAAGACACTGAGTTATAGCAAAATACCTTTTTATGGTAAAGAAGACATCTGTAGAGTGAAATCAATTCACCATCTTTGGTTTTCAGGTAAATCTTATTCATTTGATGTTTGGAATTTTTAGTTTTCTTGGTGACACTTTCTGTTTCACTCTCACTTGAACAACTAGCAGCAGACGACTTGACATGTGCTGGCAAGGCCAGGTTACTCTTGACCTTGGATTGACATTCAGTCTCTTCATCTGAAGTACGTTCACCTTCATCCTCTGATCCTGATATACTGGAGACATCATCTAATAAGTGGAAAATATGACTTACATCTTGCCATTGATTCCTGATGAATTAGAGATTTATGTCTTACTTTTCTGCTCCGGTTAGCATTCACCCACAGTGCTTTTGAGATTTAGCTTCTAAAACCCTACCAACAAAATATGAAATATATATGACTGAATTTCTATCAGGTCACATCAAATCTGTAGTCTCTAAAATGTTCACAAGAAGCCAATGGTAGTACTTACTGGCTATTTTTTCAAAATCTTCAATTTTGACTGTCTTGAAGCCACCTAGTCTCAATCTAAGATTATATCTATGCCAATCAGATTTATAATGCTGCTCCTGAAATGAATCAATTTCATGAAATAAATACATAATTAAAGGGTGAAAGGAAGATGCTGTGTTTATTGTTGTGTACAGTAAGGTGATTTTAGGGCCAAACCCTAACACTGGCCTACTTGTTTTCTTTTCCTAATATTCAAAATCCCTATGCCATGCCAGTTGTGTCTGGACATTTTGAATATATGACTAATTATCAAATGTATTAAAATCCTAAATAAAATCATAAGCCTACCTGTTCTTTTCGATCCTCAAATGTACATTCACAACAATTACAGTACATCTTATCTGATACTGTTAATTTGAGTTGTGTTTCACTGGATACATCTAGTAATAATACATAAAATTATTTTTTACCACCTTTTGCAATAACTGTGAGATCTTGCTAGCATCATCAGTTAGTGCATCCACAAGATTATCACATACAGGCTTTGCAAACAACCAGCTGGTAGGCAAGATCTCCAAAAAACCTTAAGCTTATAACTTGTTATAAATAGTTGTTTCTTTTTTTATATATATTACCATTACTGACTTAATAAATACCTTTTTCTGTATCACTTATGGAGACAATTGTGTCATAATCACTGGAGATATTACAAGCAGCCAAGCTCAGGCCTTTCAATTTGTTTTCTGCAGCTTTTTTATCATATAACATACAAACACTGTAATCATTACATCTTACTCTTGGTAATTTCTTTATTATTCCTGCCATTTTAAGCAATATTCTGAAGAAAGAAAAGGCTTACAACACAAATGGTTTCTAAATTGGCAGTTGATATAACCCCTTATTTCTGGAACATATTTTACTGTCTGTATTTCGGCGTAAATTTACGAGATTGGTCAACTTTTATTTCAGCCTAGTGTCAAAATCTAATTCTCATGAATGGCTATTGTCTGAGCAAAGAAAAAAAGTTTTTTTGAATATTTTCTATTATTTTATGAGAATTGGAATAGAAGTCTCAAAATAGTACTGTTAGTCTTAATGTCTTTGCTTTGATAAAAATATAAAGATAAGCACACATTTTGTTTTCATGTTTGCTTTTACAAGGCCCATTTTCAGCCAAAATTTTTGACTTTTTAGGGTTGAAATTTCTAGGAGGGCAATGAGATTCTTATCAATGTAAACTACAAAAGAGCATATTTTTATCAATGCAAAGAAATTCTATTTTAAGGCTGATATTCCAATTCTCTTAAAAAATATTAAAAAAATTAAAAAAACTTTTTATTTTGCTCAGACAAGAATATTACACAAAGATAGCTTGCCAGGAAAGGTAACATACGCCCACTGGCAGCTGTCAGAAATGATTAAACAGTCTTTAGTGACTACAGGGTTGCACAATATAGCTAATAGAGTGAAACGTCAAGTCAGACACGATATTTCGGTGAAATATTATCCGATCATTGCGAAAATCGATAGGGATCATCTTCATAATGACATTGACATACAAAATAAAAATCAAAAGAATCTGTAAACAATTGCAGCCTGTAGGATGAGCACGAGTTGCACAATATAGCTAATAGAGTAAAACGTCAGGTCAGACACGATATTTCGGTGAAAAATTATCCGATCATCATGAAAATCGATAGATCATCATGAAAATCAATAGGGATCATCTTCATAACTACATAGACATACAAAATAAAAATTAAAAGAATCTGTAAAAAATTGTAGCCTGTAGAGTGAGCACGAGTTGCACAATATAGCTAATAGAGTAAAACGTCAAGTCAGACACAATATTTTTGTGAAAAATTATTCGATCATCTCGAAAATCAATAGGGATCATCTTCATAATGACATTGACACACAAAATAAAAATTAAAAGAATCTGTAAAAAATTGTAGCCTGTATAGTGAGCACGAGTTGCACAAAATAGCTAATAGAGAAAAACGTCAAGTCAGACGCGATATTTCGGTGAAAAATTATCCGATCATCACGAAAATCAATAGGGATCATCTTCATAACAACATTGACATACAAAATAAAAATCAAAAGAATCCATAAAGAACTGTAGCCTGTAGAGTGAGCACGAGCCAAATGTGAACGGACGGACGAACTGACGTCCGGACGGACCGAAGGACGGACGTACCGACCGACGGACAGACAGACGGGCCGACGGGGTGATTACAATATACGTCAATAATATTGCAATGATATACAAGACGTATTGACTATTGATATCTACAGGAATAGATATCATATCTTTTTCTAGCGCCAGTAGTTTTACTGGCATATTTTTATTGGTTTATATTTCGCGCATAAATATTTGTATCACGTGATAGTTTTGTTTACTTTTACTGGCTTCCGCTCAAGTAAAAGCGGCGTTTTGTTATTACTTTATTTTGTGATTAAACCTGTGAATTCATCATCCAAAAGTGTGTTAATATTGATGGGCGTGGTGGCAGGATTGCCACGAACTACGAACTACTTATTTTGTTCAATCTGTCAATCGTTAACAACATTTTGATCAAAAGAGATCTGGATGAGTCGACTATCTCGGAAGTTGTGACTAATTCAGAATAAATAGTCTTCACGACAGCAAATATAAGAGCTCCAAAACAATGGAGTCTCACAAAGCATGAAAATATCACCTCTTTCGAGGCATGGAGACAAAACCTTCAATACACATTGTCACTAGACCCAAACTTTGCTCCTTTCCTTCTCGATGGTGTTGAATGGACCAAAAAGGTTGTACAGTCAAGTAACCTAATTTCGTGCCAATCTATTTTTCAGAAAATTAATAATTCTCATGAGTAACCTTGTGTGACCTCCGCATTTGCTGGTTTTAAAAAACATGGGTTCTCTGTACAATATCATCTAGTAGAATGAATCCAGTAGTTTCAAGCAAGGTAAAATGTATTAATGTATTTAAGTTATTACCAAATGTCACAATTTTTTATTGGCCATATTTCCTTTTTATTTATAGATCAATTATTTTACACAAAAATAGGTGACACATTTTGCATTCATAAAGAAAATCAAACAAACCAATCTTAATTATGTTATAGAATATCTGAGGAAACAAAATTTTCCTTTTTTTTAAATCTGACTAAATTCGGTGTTGAATCCTTATATGCACAAATATAGATTACACCACTGTATCATCAGATTGAAACAAATTCTTAAATGAAACGTGTGACAGGCAACCACCACCACTACAGCTACCTGCCCCTGGTCTCTCAGTCAATTCCCCAACAATCATGCCTGACTAGGTTTGTAGTCAAAATTCACATACTTATCTAAACAAATCGCTTAATGTACCAATCCATTTTATTAATTTATAGGTATTTTCGAAGTATATATGTTATATATTAACGAAATATGTCATTTTATGGTGAAATCATTTAATATTTCACACTAGAGGAACTAGAGCTGCCATGTTGATATCAAATTACGGACTAAATTTAGCATTGGAAGTTTCTACTAGCAGAAACATTTCATAGCGTATGTCATGCATTAATTTTGACAAAAATATAAGAAATGGAGAGTGGTTATTGAAATCAATTGATTCTTTGTGGGTTTTTAGTTACCAATCAGAAGTTGATAAATTAACTTCTCGTTTCTCCATCCAATCCGAAAAATATGTGACCTTGACCTTGACAATTCAAATTTTACTTGTTTTTGTTATTATAAAATTGTCGAATTTTCTAATTCAGGATATTAAAGATTTTTCAACATCTGAAATGACAATTTTGATAACTGCATTGACGAAAACATGTCATCATGAGACGTTAGACTGATAAAACATAAAAATGACCTCATATCTGAACCTGAAAGGAAATATATCCACAAACTCTATCGAATAGTTTTGATTATAAAGCTAATTCCATTGTCAACATCAGTAATATTTTATTTGTAAGTAACCTAGGCCTTTACTGGCTTTAGATAGAAATGCCAAGAGTCATGGAAGAATTTTGAGATTAAAAATAGTTGATTTGAGCATGTTAATGTGTCTTTTTCATCATCTCAGTATAAGACCAGGAGACGGTAACACTCTCAATTTATGGACTTTTTCAAAATGATCTTTATTATAAATTTCAGAACCATATAAGCTTACTAGAGATGGCAGCAAAACAAGAAAATCAAACTGTCACCAGCCTGAAACAAAAAGTTATTGAAGATTATTTGACATGTATCATTTGTTCAGACACCTATGAAGATCCACATCAGTTGAAATGTCAGCATACATTCTGTTTAAAATGTCTGACAGCTTACATTCAAAAAAGGAAATTTACTAACTCATTTCCATGTCCAGTTTGTCGTACAAATATAGCTATTCATGGAAACAAAATGGATTCACAAAAGCATCTAATGATAGGTGACATGCTCACATTTTTTAACAATGTGAAAGAATTCAGAAATATTGAAGTTGAAATAGGGTTTCCAACATCTGTTAGTAAATTCTGTAAGCTCTGTGATGAAGATAGAAGATCTGATTCATATTGTCCAATTTGTTTTGTTTGGTTATGTGAACCCTGTACTCGTGGACATAAAAAACTACAAGCCACAAAATCACATTCATTGATGGAAGTCAGTGAATTTTACAAATTCATTGAATCTTTGGTCAAAGAGAAATGTTTAAAAATTGCTACCATGAGAGATGACGTTGAGGTAAGAATGGCCTCACTGGAGTCAGCTTTATACACAACATCTGAAATTAAAGCTGAAGTCGGCTTTGAAATAAAAAAGAGGTATCAAGCACTTCAGAACGCAAATGAAAAACAGAAGAATGGTCTTCTACAGCAATTAGACTTGAAATATTCTGGAATATCAAGAGACATTGATCAATCTATGATTGATCTGGAGAAGGTGCACCAGAGACTTTGTGGCCTGATAGATTTATATGAGAATTTGCAGAAAGAACCAACATGTTTTCAAGGCTCTGAGATTGATGATCTTGAAAAAGCTGCAGAACTCATTACAGGTGACTACAGATCCCTTGACAATTCCATGAATGCTTCAGATGTTCCAATCATTGAATATAAAGCTGTTTATAAGAATGATAATTTACAGGAGTCTGGTACAGCTTTTGGAAACATATTTTTGCGTTCCAACCCAGGCATCTCCTTACCATATGTTGGTGAGGGAGTAACATGCAAGATGAATCAATGCACTCATGGAAATCAGATAACTGGACTCTCAGTTTTGGATGATAAACATTATATAGTTGTGTCAAATGACAAAGTTTTGCTTTTCATGGATTCTAAAATGATTGATGTAGGGCTGAGATCACAGACCTCTACAACATGTTTCTGGGGAGTAACACATATAAGTAAAAACAAAGTTATACTTACTAGCATGGAAAGCTGCTTGGGATCTGGAAAAATTACCATTTACCAAAGAAATTTAGCTCAAACTTTTCAAATTTCTGATGTATTAATTGAAGGATTAACTAGCCCAAGAGGTGTTTGTAGTAATCAAGATGGTTCCTTCATGGTTTGTGACCAGTTTGATCGCTGTATTTACTGTTTCAGTCAGGACTGCCAGCTCAAGCGGATCATCAAAAAGTCTAAAGATGGCTTGCCTTTATTTGTTCAACCGATGTTTGTAACTCAAAATACAAATGGTGATATAATAGTGTCTGATCACGGTTCATTTGTTAAGATTCTCAGCAAAGACGGGGATATTAAATATACCTATGTCTCGGGAAAACCAAAAAGTGAATTTTGGGGAGTGGCTACTGATAGAGATGGAAATATTTTAGTTACAGATTGGAATCATGGAATACATATTTTGAATGAAAATGGTGACTTTAAGATGTTACGTAATGATTTTCCGTATGGAATGCATCCTATGTCTATAGACCGCCATCCTCAACATAATACGTTCATGATTGGAACATCAGCTGGTGAAATTTATTTCATGAGTTGAAATTTAGGCAGGATTTTAATGTACTGTGGTCCATTTATATCATGGACTATTATATGGAAAATACTGATCATCAAAATACAGAATGCATGTATGTGAATGCATAATTATCCCTGTCTTTCTAAGTTTAAAACTAAGGGAGTCACTGATTTTTTTTATTATCAAACCAGTTTAATATTTGTCGCCGATCGTTTTATCCTCATCATCCAGATTCATTTTCCTTTTATATGCATGATCCGCACAAGATTATCGAAATAGTGGAAACTGACTGACTGGAGACTTTTTGTTTCCTTGTGTACCTGCAGAGGGTTGGTTAAACTCTTGACAAAGCTCTAGTCGGCGACAATAATGGCAGACCAAGACAGTTCATGTGCACGCACCATAAGACACAAATTTGTCTTTTCTTAAAAATATCAAATTTTTAGTACAAGGTAGCCTACTGTTACTAAATATGAAAATGAAAATTTTAATACTCATATGAATACAAAGTAGAGGTACATGTATTCTTATGACTTGGAAAAATACCAGTTTGTCTCACATGTCTGTAATTAATTCATAATTAGCTAAATAAGAGGATAATTAACAACAGAATTCCACTGAGTGACCGATCAAGGAAGGTCAAAAAGTCTTTTTTTTTTTGTTTATCCAGACTGTACACACATGGACATGGACAGACTCTTAATTATATGCAATAAGGACTCATAATGATATGATTAAGAATACGTATGCTAATTCATAAGAAACACCAATTATTCAAATAGCTAAAAGAAATAAGGAAACTCATCTTTAATAATTTATTCTACGTTACTATACGTATCTTATTGTATTTGTGTGACAGAAAATGAATGTTAATTATTAAATATTCTTTTCTAAATAGTAATTGTTTTTCTTTATCAAATATTAATACTTAATAAGTTTAAGTAAGTATCAGAGATTTTTTTTCAGATATTCAGTATTTTTTGTCTTCAAATAAACTTATAACAGAAAAATATTGTTAAAATATGTTACTGCCAATCAACTATATTTCTTACCATGGTATGTACCTCATATTACTTTTTTTTTTTTTTTGACAAAATGAATTTTTCTTTTGTGAAAAAGTATTATTATTTCGTTTACAAACAACGGAATATGATGTATTTTAAAATACCATTTCACGGTTTACAAGACGTAAATTGACTTTTTCGTCAAGCAATAAAGGGCCTGAATGATGGTGACTACATCAGCCCATAACAAATGTCCACACATGTGGAAGAAAATCTGTCAGGCGATTGATTTAATAGGTTGGTCATGTCTGTCGCCATCTGTAGAACAATTAGTCAGATTAGTGCCTCACTTATAGCCAGATCAAGCCAGTCAAAGTTGGGATATTTTCGCGCACCATACCACAAGTGGTAAGTAAACAAGGCATTTGTTGTGGCTCCATCTATATCTATTGCATTATTCTGGAGGTGTAGAGTTTCTCAGTAAATGGAGAGCCCAATATGTAGTTTCATTTGTGTTTCAACTACATTTGCAACATGCATGTCACTATGTGCATACTTAGTTCAGCTTTGGTGGCTGCAAAGTCTATTGATTACTTGATCTCCCTTTACTTACACCCAAAGTCGGAAATCAGCATCACATTATTTCTTTTCTTGACTCTTATTATCAAGGTATTGTCTTTTTAGGGACATTCAACTTTTTTGTAAGTGAAAACTATACACCAAAATCTAGAGAAATGTGGCTTTTAACGTATCTGAAAGTTTTAAACTATATAAATCCAGCTGGTAATTTCTAAACGCCAAAAACATTATGTATGATTTTTGGAAGCTGTTTGAAAACTACTGAATGGATTTGAACTAAATAAACGCATAATTGTATCTAGTTATATAGAGCCATTATAAAGCCAATCACCAAAACTAGGTCAAACTGCTTAATTAACAATATTAGTACTCTCGGTCTTTAACTAACCCTATTAAAACAAATTCAGTTTGATCAAGTAGATACATAGATATCAATAGCATACTTTAGAAATATTTCCAAATAATAATAATTTATGACGTTTTTGAAAATGAAAACTTTTTACATGATAATGACAAATGACTCAGTCAAATTGTTGTCTGCGAAATGGTGAGAATTGCATGAAATATTTTGATTCCAGTGCCTCTACTTTTTGGAGGTCATTAGTGTTACATATAGCTGATTATTCCTGTCTTTCTTTCCAGAGAAAATGAACCAAGTCACTTCATAATGCTATTCATTTATGCATTGTTCTTAGTTTCAGCAGCACTCAAATCAAAATGTCCAACACAGATAATGTATTAGCTGGATTGGATGAAACTCAAGTTAAATTGATGCAAGAGGAATGTATTCTAGTTGATGAAAATGATAAAAATACTGGTTCTGCTTCTAAAAAAGAATGTCATCTGATGGAAAATATTAATAATGGTAGGTTAAATGTTTTGAATTAATGAGTTTCATTAAGCTCTGCACATATTTGCTTATGACAGTAATATCTTATAGATGTTGACTTTGTCACATTGAATTAACATGGACGAGATCACTATTTGATCTAGATTTGAATGAAATTTTATTTAATATCTCTCTGAAAATGATCAATAAATGAAAATATCCCTAAATTGTATAGTGGCTAAATCTGAAAAAGCTATTTAGAGTGAGAATATTTAGAAAATAAATGTTTAAAGTTACTTTTCAGGTATGTTACATAGAGCATTTAGTGTGTTCCTCTTTAATACCAAAGGTGAATTATTATTACAACAAAGATCCACAGAGAAAATCACATTTCCAGGTAACTTTTATAACCATAATGTTGTGACTGTAAGAAAATCACACAATTCCTTAAAAAATATCTCTACCTTGGAAATTATTCTTCATTCTTATTATCAAGGTATTGCCTTTAAAATGAATATATTCATAATGATGACAAATGATGTCTTTTGGCTTTACTATTTATGGCAGTGTCTCAAGTAAAAGACAACTCAACTTTTTAACTTTCTGGCCACACAGGGATTTGAAGTCTCAAATTTAGATGGTGAGCTGTGAACACTACTACTCATTGGCTTATCTAAAAAATATCTGTTTCTGAGACTAAGGTATGATTTGTAAAAAAAATGGTGCATGTCTCATTAAAGGGCAAGATTCATTTTTATTCAGGTAGATCTGTTAAAAGGATTAATATATAGCTCAATAATAAGCTTGTTTCATGAAACTGTACGATCTATGTAGTTTATATTCAACTCTTTTTTTTATACATTCCTTATACCGGTATTGGGTTTTGTTCGATTTTAAGCAAAAATCATATTTCAGATCATTTCACAAATACTTGCTGTAGTCATCCATTAAACAGAGAGGGTGAAGTAGATGAACTGAAAGCTATAGGAGTTAGACGTGCTGCTCAAAGAAAGTTACAACATGAATTAGGCATAGTACCACAACAGGTAAGTCATATACCATTAGGAAGAGGAAGATCAGCTGAATTTCTTATACAGTACAGTATTTCACCACCTTTTTCAAAGCTGATGATTATTATCTGTATAAAGATAAATGTTATCTATGATGACTTGACTCACCTGAAAAAATTTTACCAGCTTCTGAGTGGCATAAGTTGTACTGAAAAGGCTCCTGTCACAGTATTATTACAGTTGCCTTGGCAAGTCATATATCACCTGGTGCAGTATTATATTCAATCTCTTTAAGGTACCATTAGAAGACTTCCAGTATATAACTAGAATATTATATAAAGCTGACAATGTTCCATATGATGGGAAATGGGGTGAACATGAAATAGATTATATTTTATTTATTCAAAAAGATGTAGATGTAAAACCCAACTATAATGAAGTGAAGAGTCATAGATATGTTTCACAGATAGAACTCAAAAAATTAATAGGTATGTCTTGCTCCACTGTTAATTTTAATACTTTCATAGTTACATTTATTTCTGTTATGAATCAAAAAAGATTTATTCCTGTTATAAATTACCTTTATTTCTGTTCTTTTCTGAAACACATTACTTCTATTTTTGTTATGAAACACATTTTTATCATCATTATGTTCTTAAAATATTTTTAACTTCTGAATGCATTTAATTAAATTATAGAAACAAGTGAACAGAATGGTTTGTTGATTACACCATGGTTTAAACTAATAGTTGAAACATTCCTTTATAAATGGTGGAATAACTTATCTAATCTACGATCTCAGAAAGACATAGATACAATCCATAGAATGGTTTAAATAGTTGTATGTGTGTAATACCAAGCCTAACTTTAATGCTATAAAGTGAAATGGACATGGCATGTAAATATGAATGACAATGTAGAGATTAGGTTTCTTTCAATTAATTATGGGTTTGCAAACCACAAATTCAAACAAAATATTTACCTGTAACAATATTGTGGTGGTGAGAACACACTATACTTTAAATGAAAAAGTAGAATTAGGCTTGGTATATTGAATCAAAAAAACATATGAAAATATTGAATATAAAAACTATCCCGGCAGGAACTATGGACAGCTCTTCAATCAACTGCACTGAAATATGTAGACAGAAACCTCTACCTCTATTCAAGCCTCTGATAGCTATTTTGAAAGTTTTTGGTGGAGGTATGGAACTGATCCCCCAATTAGGACCTTATTCCAGCTAAAAACTGTCAAAATATCTATCCAAGGCTGGAATAGAGGCAGATGTTTAGACTATGAAATATGGTGATGGTGTTTGGTATGTGATATGTAATTTTAGAAGTGAAAATTAATCATTGCCCTTAACTTGGTTATTCTCATGCATTTAAAAGGCATATCTCCTTTTGACTAAGAACTATTTGTAGACAACTGATACCATAAGGTGAATCATAATTTAAAGTTTACTAGCAAGTTGCATGTGGTAATTGAAATTATGGAACATAGCTGAAAAAATTGGCATGCTGAATATTGTTTGTTTACCTAATCCATGGACACATATAGTAGCACCACAAAATCACAAAGCATTAGAGTCCCACCTTTGGGGCCCAATTTTTTTTTCATATATCTTTATTTTGTCTTCTTTGTTATTGTATTAAATCTTTTAAAACGTTAAATATTGACTAACTGCTTATTTTGTTTTTACATCACATGTATTGTATTCAAAAGCTTCAATCAGATAGAAGATTACACATTGAAAATATACAAAGTCATACTTCATATTATGAAAGCAGACTTGCCATAAAACATCTGGTTCTTGAATTCTGCTTGACATTTTTTTTTTTGAAGGGGGTCTCAACTCTTTAAGTCATCTAAATTTTTCAGTGGGGAGCCCCTCCCTGGAACCCCTCTAGCTACGAGCATGTTTGGGAAGCAAATTAATTGCTTCGACATTCAACAAAATTAGAGTTATGTAAATTTGAAAAGTATTAGACGTCTCGTCAATTTATACCTACTAGGTGCTAGAAGATATCAGTTTCTCTAAAACAAATTTAAGTTGTCTCATAGGAAGTTCAAGAGTTGGAAGATCGAATCACCATGGAGACTTTTAATTTACCTGTAATTTTTGTTTTTGTAAATATTTTATTCACACGAAAAATGAAAAGGATTGGGAAGCATCTTTAAAGAAATTAATGATCAATTTTTGTAAGGGACATTTTTAACCGTAAAATCCCAGAAGGAAAAAAGTCGACACAATCCTTTAGTCAGACTGTTAACAACGCTTTCAGATGTCAAGTCCTCTTTAAGACTTCTCATCTTTTTCCGAAGTGAAGCTCTCTCATCAGAAGAAAGAAATGAAAATGAAATGGATGTCGTCCTACTTTTCTGATCAGAAGAAAGGAGAACAGTTTTAGTGTATGTTGTACATAACCAGTTCACGAGTATCCTCTTACATGACCTTGGTTGTAAAACTTCTGCAATTGAGACAGATCACATACTTTAAGACTATTAACATTACTGTATCTGGCAATTCACCAGAGACAAACGGTGTACAATCTATGGGTGTGGGGTTTTAAGGTCACTGAGTTACATGATACGAACAAAACGAAAGTTACGGTGATATCCAACATTAATTTAGTTATCGTAAAGGTAATTTAATATTATGCTTTTTCATTAAACAGGACCTATTTTTCTGACAGTTGTTAATTAAGACATTTGTTTAATCAGTTGAATTTAAGACTCCCCGTTGTTTTTGTGCTCACAACCACATTTACACAAGATCCATTTAACGGTGTTGATATTGATGAATCACCCTTACGATCTGTTGAACTAGTAGCTTGGGATTCTTATTTGGACTAAGTATACTCCCTCTCGTCCTGACTATCATCATCTTCGTCTTCCGTGTCCGATATCTCTTGTTCTTGTTAATCATGTCTAGTCCACAAAGTAACTTTTCTTAGCTGAAATAAAATGTTATCCCAGGATGTCCCAAATTAAAACACATTCCCACACTACCTTTCTAACGTCAGTGTATTTCATGCAATTCCATAATTAAAAAAAACCTTATGACTTCATTATCGCAAGAGACCTTCGAGTAAATATAAACTAAAGTGTCTCTTATTCAAATACAAAGCCCAGTCAGAACTTTTGGAACCGCGCTAATATTAGGTTGTTAATGACAAGAACAACACAGATGTAAATAATATCATTCTCTTACCTGCTCTGGTTGCCGTGGTTTCGTCAAAAACTTACAATAGCTATTATATTGACACATGCCACGGAAATTATGATGGCAAATTGAGAGAAATGGACTATACTGAGTATCAGAGGTTTTAAATCTGGACAGCAGGATAGTAAACTTCTTATACAAGTGTCGGTAAACGACAAAACTACAACCAATATGTCCCCTAAAAGGCTCTCTGTTTTCCGTTTTATGGCGTTTGCTACGCTACGCTACGCTACACTACGCAAACGACTACCACCAGTCAATTCAGCTTCTGATGCTTTCTTTCGACTTCTTCCCCACATAGTAAACATACTACTGGCACTGTTGAAAACGGACGTCAGAGAGCTCATCTATGCTGCCAACAACGCTGAAAGCATCAGACCTCACAGTCCTAAAAGAATATCTGTGAGTGACCATGCGCCAATTAACAGGTATTACTTTGAATTAGTTGTAAGGAGGAGTACGAAATAAAGCTGAAAACCGGGATGGTTTAACCATTAAGAAAGTTTTATTTTTGTTTTTATGAAGCTTTCTGGTTTGCCTTTTACTTGTTTCAACTTGAAGGCGCTATTTAAATTCACAGGTTCTCCTTTTGTTCTATCTAAAGAATGACCCGGTATGTAAAATACTATGTAAGTTACTCACCATTAGGTAAAAGTCGTATAACTAATAAAGGATAAGATACATTGCTACAGCCAGCTTCGTTACCACAAATAATTTGACATTTTTCTGGTGATGTGCATGCTACTTCATCTAAAAATAATTACGGAGAAGTCAATTTCTAGAAAATTACCTCAGTTGAGTAGTGATAAATAAACTGCTGTGGTAAACCTCCCAGCACCCGACCTGCCAATCTGGAGCTGTTTCAAATGGATGTTTGTGCAGGTTGGGCTCTCCAGGAATATATTATACTTTAACTGAAAAATAGACACTTACAATTTTTTTACCATTTTACATTGTAAAAGAATGGCCTGTGGCTTTGTACTCCTAAACAGATCTGGATAAGGATCCACATTTAACACAACGCACCAAACTATGAGGGAATAAAGAAGGCCATAACAGAGACGTACCGTGAAACGAATGGTAAACGTGTAAATCTACTATTGTTTTTGTCACTGTAGCTGCTGTAGTATCCACCGATTCGAAGTCAACGTTCCAGTGTGAATACGTGATTTAATTGCGATATCGAAGTATACATATTCGATTATTCCGTTTCCGATTTCTGATATTTTTCTTGAGTGCGCCAAGTGCTGCGAAATTGGCGTAATTACAAAGGCTCATGGAGGTTTTATTAGTTTATTAATTGTATATCTATTTCGTTTTCGGTGTAACCTTGTGTATTCATTCGATAAGCTTATTCAAAATGATTATTTTGTATTTTTTCAGTTTTCACGGCTTATTCGACTTATTTGTCCTTATTCGTCTTGTCCGACTAGTACATATGGTCTAGATCGAGTATTAGATATGAATGTTATATTGTTTGAGTAAATGCGATGCGTCCTTTTTATACTTTCATAATAAACTGTTACATTGGATATATGTGTTCAACCTGATAAGCCCGTCGAGACCCATGTTGCTTTGCGTCATAAGACCCATGTTGCTTTGCGTCATAATGCGTCAGTTTTGATGAAATACAACACTAAAGACGGTTATGGAAACCGAATGATGATAACTTTGGTCATAAAACATAAAGCTTCTCTTATTGGTTAAGTGCATAATCATGATTTTGATGTTAATCCACAGTGTTGAAATAATCCAGAATCAATACTTGGCGACTATTGCTGAGATGGTAGCACCGATCACCAAGATGACAGTTTGCAGTGTGTCGGTATACATAACTGCTTTCAATCCTCCTGGAAATAAAGAATAGATGAAATTCAGTGCCACGATCAAACGTCCTTCTGTCGACTGATGTAGCCAGTTCAGACTGAACTCTTGGTGTCTTCCTGAGCTTTTATTGCAGGTGAGTCGGGGGCCACTTTTCAACGAGTATGGAGACTATTGATAAATTAACGGCAACGTAAATATTTATTTGGTAGACTTGCACACCAGTAACAGTATAAAGATCAGTTACCACTAAAATAGCTGGGATACAAATATATATATGCTAGGTTAATTACAACACGCGTCTCTATGCGCTTATAACCAAATATGGACATTTATTGATTTATTGAAAAATAACTTACTGATATTTGGTGAGAACGTACAATATTAAAGCTAGTAGGCTATAGATAGATAAATTCTTAACCTTACTCCACCAACTCGATGTTTTGAATAACACAGTAAAAGCCTACAAATAAATAAAAGAACTTATTTTACATATACAGTGGTGTAACCTATTTTCGTGGATATAAGGATTCAACACCGAATTTCGTCAAAAAAAGTTAAAAAAACGAAAAAAAAAAAAATTTATGTCTTAGATATTTCCTCAGATATTCTACAAAATAATTAAAATTGGTTTATTTCGATTTTCTTTATGAATTCTTCACTTTGACCCATATTTCATGAGCAACCAACTCGGCAACGGCAGCAGAATGCGTCACCTATTTTCGTGTACAATGTTTGATCTATAAATAAGTCTCGAAAAACACGTTGTATGGACACCGGGTGGTATAATTAACTTCTCTTCGTATTTATCTTTAATATCAATTCATTATATTCATGACAATTCCTTCAAAGAACCACGATTTTAAAATAAAATAGTGACTGACAAAATAAGATACGTAGCGTGATATATTGCTAAAAGTCACTGAAACAACATAAGAATATGGTCCACTTTGTGTTCCATAGAAATTTTCTGCTGACACAGAATTCGCTAGTTGATCACGTGACTTCATTCATTGGAATATATTCTAGCAGACGACACTAGGAATTCCGATTACCGCTTGGGATTACAAGGAAACTCGGGCGATAAAAAATGGTGACGTTTGGTAATAAGTGAAATCCGCCATTTTGTATTTGTCAAAGTATACATTATTACACTTTACGTTGCTTGAAACTACTGGATTCATTCTACTATCTAATATTGTAGTGAAAACCCATGTTTATCAAAACAAACTAATGCGGAGGTCGCGCAAGGTCGCTCATGTAAATTATTAATCCTTTCCGGAAATCCACGAATAATAGGTTTCCACAAAATTAGGATACTTGACTATATAATACAGAATACTATCTCCCCTTCCAATATAATGAAAATATCTAACTCCATATTTAAAAATAACAGATTACTTACTCCATATTCAAATATAATGAACATATCTTACTCCATATTTAAAAATAGCAAAGATTACTTACTTCTTATTTTAATATAATACAGATAACTATCTTCCCTTCCAATATAATGAAAATATCTTACTCCATATCTCCCCTTCCAATTTAATGAAAATATCTTACTCCATATTTAAAAATAGCAAAGATTACTTACTTCTTATTTTAATATAATACAGAATGCTATCTCACCTTCCAATATAATGAAAATATCTTACTCCATATTTAAAAATAGCAAAGATTACTTACTCAATATAATGAAAATATCTTACTCCATATTTAAAAATAGCAAAGATTACCTACTCCATAGTCAAATATAATACAGATTTCTATCTCCCCTTCCAATATAATGAAAATATCTTACTCCTAATAGCTTGCCAGGCAAGGTAATATACGCCCACTGGCAGCTTTGATTTGAATAAAAATACTTAGTACAGTAACAATAACCAGTATGAAATATTCTTTAGGGCAATACTGAATACTATTGAGTATGAGTTATAGCCCTTGTTCTTGAAAACGTGTTCAATTTTTAGCTCGTGAAAACTTTAGAAGGCAAATATTCAATCTTTAGCGCGGGACTGAATAGAAAAACAAAGTTTTGTCAAAATCCAGCAAGAATCCTGCCTTTTAGTGTTTAAGAGATAAATTTGAAAGCGTTTTAAAGAAAAAGGGCAATAACTCAAACTAATATTTTTCGATTCTTCTGATTTTCGATAGGTTTATCCTGGTGTGATTACAAACATTCACATCAAGTTTCGTCAAAATCCGCCAAGAATTGTGCCTTCTAGAGTGTTTACGAGTTAAAAATTGAAAGTGTTTCCAAGAACAAGGGCAATAACTCATACTTAATATTTTTCAATTTTTCTGATTTTCAATAGGGTTAAACCTTGGTTGATAACAATCACTCATGCCAAGTTTCGTCAAAATCCATCAAGAATTGTGCCTTCTAGGGTGTTTACGAACTAAAAATTGAACGCGTTTTCAAGAACAAGGGCAATAACTCATACTAAATATTTTTTGATTCTTCTGATTTTCAATAGGGTTCATCCTTGTGTGATTATGAACACTCATGCCAAGTTTCGTTAAAATCCATCAAGAATTGTGCCTTCTAGAGTGTTTACGAGCTAAAAATTGAACGCGTTTTCAAGAACAATGGCAGTAACTCATACTAAATATTTTTCGATTCTTCTGATTTTCAATAGGGTTCATCCTTGGGTGATTACGAACACTCATACTCAAAATCCGTCAAGAATGTGTGTCTTGGCGGACGGACGGACGGACGGACATGTGTGACGGCAATATACGCCCCCCATTTCATGTGGGCGTATAAAAATAACAAAGGTTACTTACTCCATATTCAAATATAATACAGATTTCTATTTCCCCTTCCAATAAAATTAAAACATTTTTTAACTCAGTATTTAAAAATAGCAAAGATTACTCATTTTAATATAATACAGATTACTAACCCTCCCTCCAAATAAAATACATTAATTATTCGCCAATCAAAATTAATACAAATTAAGGATCCCTTTCAAACATAATGCAGATTACTAACTTCCCGTTTAAGTTCAAAAGTTACCCAAATAACTTACTCATTTTATATAACACTAATTACTTACTCCCCATTTTAATCATATTACAAAATACTTAGTCCCCAAATAAATATAATAGAAATCTCTTAATCACAATTCAAATACAATACTAATTACTAACTTCCCCAAAAAATATGATACAGATTACTTACTACAATAAAACCTACTCAACATTTACATAATACACATTACATACCCAACATACAAATATATAATACAAATTATTTATTCCCCATTTAAATATAACACAGATTACGAACTCTCCATTCAAATATCTGATGTTGCCCGAATTTCTAACCTAGTTATAAGAGTTTTTCAAACTCTTCGTGAGAATCACTATTGTAATTGTTTTGGCAGATTATTTTCTTTTTTTCTAATTTAGAACTTACCGTTAGGGCCTACCGTATTCAACCGATTTTGGATGAGATTTTCGGGCAAGTATCAGAACTTATCAGGGTTGCCAGGTCCCCGTCTACGACTATCCTCAAGAAACTTCACGACCATCTATGGGTTTTGCAAAATGAGGGAATTCCACCGTTTGTTCCACGCCAATACTGACAAGTGAAGCTGAAGGGTAATTGTACTAACGTAGTAACAGCGTTCAATTACCGATCCTCATAATGCAGACCATGATCAAACAAATATCGAACGTTACATCAAAAGTTCACACCAATTTGCAAAACGTAAGTGATGAAACGCATGTTCAGGAACGTTTTTAGTACAATAAATGCAAAGCATTTAGAAATAAATCTATTTACATAGATAATTACATAGACAACTCGTGGGCCGGAAGAACATTACTGGCGGGACGTAGGTTGCCCACCTCTGAGTTAAAGGGACCTTCCGCTTTTTTTTTTGGTAGTGTGGGACGAACAAATTTTTGTCAGATTTGTGAAAACTATACACTTAAATATAGTCCCTTAACGTACCTGAAACCTTTTACTTTTTTTTTACGCCAAAGATATTTAAAATGTTCACGTAAGTCTGTTATGGTTTTTGGAAGCTGTTAAAAAACTACTGTACTGAATTGAAGTAAAATTAACGCCTAATTGTAGAGATATATATCTTCAACGTTAATTTTATAGTTTAAACTAAAATTTTTGATCCATATAAAGCAAAACTAGGTAGACTGCTTAATTAACAATTAGTACTCTCCGTTTTTAATTAACCCTTTTAAAACAAATTCAGTTTGATCAAGTAAATACATGAATATACATAGCATACTTTAGAAATATTTTCAGGTATAATTTACGTTTTTGATAATGAAAATCGTTTCCAAAAAAGCGGAAAGCCCCTTTAAACTTAGTTTGGGTGATTAGTTTCAATACAAAAGCAAAAGGGGAGATGGATGGAAATAATTGCTTCAATTGTGGATACATTTCCACTGTAGTGAATTTATACAAGGAAGTCACAACTGGCAAAAGCGGTATGAAAGCCACAGCAGTAAACATCTACTTACAAGCTGGATTGCAAGACATGCCTTTAAGAAATAGGCTCAAGGAATAGGCTTGTAATGGCAGACGTAGGCATTCCCCCTCCAGCTATTAGTGGTATGACTTAAATTATTAAATTACTTTAGTACCAAAACAACCGAATTGAATAATGAGATTATGCGGAAGAAGGTGG